CCTCCGCCGCAGATTGATCCAATCACTTGCCAAGTATTTTTTAAATACTTTTCCAAATGGCTTCCAATGGAGCTTTCCTAGATGGTTTGGTGAAACAAACCATCTGAGTCAGGCTAGTAATGCTAACCATCTCATGTTTTACATATACAGGGTAAATCTTAAACTGAAGCTTGAATTTAAAGCAACCCAACGGAAGTTTCATGTAAGTTTAGTTATTTCACTCGTAGCTCAGGCTGCGGGGGTGCTAGAGACGGTAGCACGTTGATACGACCTTCCTAGTTGGAGACATGGCCGTATTTTACAATAAACTTCCATTGGGTCGCTTAAAAACAAATATTGCAAATCGAATAATCGCAATTAGATTATTTCCCCAAATCGTGCAGCCCTATTCACCACTTATATGTGGCATTAGGTGTGGACCCCTATCTCCCCCTGAACAATCCATGTCCCCTACCCCTCTATATTGAAATATTATGGATCAAAAAGAGTTTAACATGATGTCCCAAACATTTGTTTGTGCAACTATTAAACATTCCATCATTTTTCACCCATTTCCTAAACTGCAGGCACTGACAAGGAATCCCAGATGATAAGTTAGCTTTGAGAAAAAGGGTGATATGCTCACAGATGCATCCTGTTTCTAAATGTCATTTCTTGGTTCCTCTTAGAGACAGCACGAGATAGAGCTTAAAAGAAACCACAGAGGCTAAAGGGAAGGGGATGGAAAGAACTGTGTACCTACTCAATGTAGGAACTGTCCAGCTCTGCAGATATGTCACTGGAAAAAATAGCTAACCACACAGTGTCAAGATAACTTCTGACAAAACTACTTTTTTAAAAACATTAAGAGGAGATGGTGTTTGTTTTGAACTAAATTGGCTGATCTTTCAAACAAGTCTTTTAAAAGGATATCCTGTGCTTTCCCTTACACTTTCAATTAACTGTTCAGCTTGGACAGAAACAGACACCCAGCTCTTACCATGATACAGATTGACGAGCAAGGGTCACAATATGTTACCTTTGCGCCCCAGGTAGAAAAAACAGTCACAGCCATTTCAAATGATTATATGATGATACATACTTCTGACTGCTTGCAGGAAGGGTTGTTTGTAGGGTTCTGTTTTTTATGAGATCATGCGTACGATTGGACTCAACATCATGTTTAAAGTGTTAAGTGTTGCTTGAGAAGACAACAACAGTGGCTGACCGGTGTAAACGCATTGCAACGGCCCAAGACATTTCTATTAGGTGAAACGTGCTGCATTTTTTTTAAAGATTACTGTTGGCAGAGTTAGTCTGTTTCATAATTGTGTTTTGTCAGTACATCAGAAATGACTAGGTTAGCTATGTTAGCTTACTAGCTTACACCATAACATCGTAACAAATCATGCGTTCACATTTTTTTTAAAAGACGATAAAACTAAATGTTAGGTAAGTTTCCATTGACAGTTGGGAGACTTTATAATCCCTAATCATAAACAAGAGATCTGGTCCCGGGCTCCCAGCTATGTGCATCACTTTTGTTTTTCTTCCCGTATTCGTTTTGAGCTTCTTGCATCGTTTTTATATTTGCAGCTTTTCGTTTATCAGGGCTCGACATTAAGGACTGCCCGATGGCCCGGGGCCATCTAGTATTTAGCTCGGGCCATGAAGCCTCACCTGCTGGTGGCCCGATCGGGCAATCTATTATGCCAGTATCATGCAGCTCGCGGATCCAGTAATGAGTAACCCGACAGTAAAACTAAGCATATCTATAACTAGTTACGGTAGTTTGAGAGGTAATTAAAATAGCTACGTGTGATATTCTAACCTGAAGTGTGTGTTTTGTCCGCTCACCGCTGCATGTGATCATGCAGCGCTGCGTGTCGACTCGTCAGCAGCAGCTGATCTCTCTGTCCCGTCAGATTAGACTTCACTCGCGTTTATGTCCATATCGATCAGATCCAGCTAGTTCTAGCTAATGATATGACTACCTGCTTATTAAAAGACACCTAAACAATAAGTGTCGCTATGCAACTGGGTGAGGCCACAAAGTATAGCGCAGCATTATGCATTTGTTTACATGCCCACCGGAACCCCGAGGCATTACCAACAGATCAACGCACAATCAACCCATACAGGACATCTCTTTCTTCACATTAAGTGTTAGACATTAGAATTGACTATTCTTGTCTGTCACATACTCTTCTTGTCTGTCACATAAGTGGCGCAACTGAAGCGGTATTGCGCTAAAGGGAAATTATTTTGACCGAAAGAGATTTAGATTTGCCGGCTAACGGGAACTCTGACGTCGCCATTTTGTGTGCTTTGCGGATGCGCTCGGCTCCTCTCGACTGCTGCTCGGGTCTGCTCGGTCAGCTTCCGGATGAGGAGGCATTCGTTCGACCAACTTACAGTAGATAACATTACAAACATTTTTAACAGGGGCCATAATAGTGTAAATAATGTTTGTTTTGGCAGTTACAACTGAATGTAATGTGTTCTACTTTTTTACATCTGGGAAGGCATTTGCCTTCATCAGATGGAAAGTGTCTTCTTGACCAACAACTTAAGTATTTCTTATAGCTATGCAGGGCATGCAAGCGAGCAAACCTAAACAAGAACAAACAAACAAGTGAAATGAAGAATAAAATTAAAAGTGTACAATATAATATTGTGGTGGTTCATCTTATAATTCAGTCTAGAGAATGCACCAGACAGCATCTACAGTAAGACCTGCAAAAATCTTTTATTTTCTAGGGGGAGGCCCCCCAAACCCTTCGTGCCATTTCGTCCGCGCACATTTTTCAGGGCAATCTCTATTGGGCTCAGGGCCATCTGTAAATTAGCTTAGATGGCCCACAGGGCCATCTCCCAAAATCCTTAATGTCATGCACTGTTTATGCAGCGTAATTAGTAAACACTGCGAATGTTTTGTTTTCTAAATGTAATGTCAAGTTGGTGAAGATATTTCTTCATTAGCATGTGTTTCTGCACATTCCTTTTTTATACTTGCATTGTTTTTTAATGTGCAGCGCTTTTCTTCTATTGCAGGTGTTTTGAGCCGTTGTAGCAAGTTTGCACCTGTCAGTCACCATAGCCAATGCTTACAAAATAATCTAAATTATTTAGTTAACTGTTATTTAATCATAGTGACTAAAACAATAAAGCAATGGCTTCTGTTACGCTAATAGCAGGTACACAAAAAGTATTTTATACTCCGGAATCAGTATCGGCCAACACCGGCTCTTTTTGGTGTGAACGCGACATTTCTGAACTAAAGTGGGAAAAGTACTGCGGTGTGAACGTGTCTAATGGGGTTCATTTTTATATTGCTTCAGTTTATAATCATAACGGATCGAAAAGTTCAGATGAATTTTTTAATACATGATGCTTCCACAAACAACAACCAACATAATTATTACATTCAAATTAAGTATATTATTCAAGTTTACATTAACTTTGGATAAGAACACGGGAGAAATGAGCGGAAGCGCTCTCTTTTCCTCTCTCTCTCTCTCTCTCTCCTGACAGCCTGTCAGTATCGTCTCATGCAGCTCACTGATCCAGTAATGAGTGACCCGACAGTGAAGAATAAATATATGCATAACTAGTTTAGCTTGTTCCAGGGGTCGATAAAATAGCGAAGTGTGTTAGGTCTAACTCTTATTGCGTGTTTCGCTCCGCTCACCGGTCCGTCACAGCGGGCGGAGCTGCAGGATTTCTGCTTCACACACACGTTGCATACCGCTATTTTACTGTCTTTTTTGGACACTTTAAAATACTGCCAGACCGGTGAAGCCATTTTGGCGATCTTGTTTTGCTGCGCACAGAGAAAAGTGTCATGTATTTTACGTCATGTGATCGGCTCTCCTGATTGGCCTTTACAGAGAGCACCGATCGATCGGCAGAGAGTGAAGATCAGCAGATAACAATCGGCGGTCGATCGATCGGAGCATCCCTAGTGGTAGCTATTCACATTTTAGAATGTGAGAAAATACACCCAAACTATTCCACGTCTATATCCTATAAATGAAAAATAGTATTTGATCAATACACTTCTTGATTTATAACTGTTTATGTGTAGCAAGGCCTGGAGGTTCTAATTGGCTAGAGAGGTTAGCTTATTAAAAGGATGTTTCTTATTATTACTCTGTGATAAATCATCACTACACCTTTTGTGAGGTGAAGAACATCTGCTGTATGGAAAACCTTTGGTGACTTCTTCATTCCCTGACTGTGTTACTGAACATAGAGGAGATTCTTGTTTCAACATATTAGAACAAAAGGCTTTGTTGAGCCATGAAGGACATTTATAATGTGTCCAAGAAGCCTGTTGACATCCTCAAGAGCTGTACTGGGAAGGTGCAGCAATTGCACAAGACATCGTTTACTTAATGTGTCTATCCAGCAAGCAATGTTGTAGTTTGTTTTAAAACTGTATGCAATTCAGTCAATTAATCAATGTAAACACAAAACTATCCTGTCTCTAAGCAACTGTATAAAGAAACACGTGTTGGTTCATTTATACTGCTGTAAATACAAGTTTTCCTATTCCTTTTTAAATCCCCATCGGACAAAAGCAAACTGCAGCTGGATCTTGAGTATGAAGCAGCTGAAGCAGAATGAAAACTATAGCTGGATTAGTTACAAGCTGGAAGTATTAATTCCAGCTATGGACCAAATCCCCGGTTCCCTAAGTAAATACCAATGTGTGCATAACCTGAAAGAGCCGCGCGACCTATGTCAAACAAACTGCAGGTAGTTTCTTGAGAAATTAGTGGATGTTTAGGGTGGAAACTGAGCTTTTACTGTGGAGAGCAAAGCAATTACAAGCCCATAAAAGTAACAAAGCTGGAAGAGCTGCTTCACTGATGTGTCTTGAGTTGTAATACCAAACAGAAGAGGGCGGGTGTGTCCAGTCCCTAAAAATACCAGTGCTCAATGTAAAATTAAAAAAACAGTTCCACATTACAGTGTGTTTCAGGACACACACTTTAATGTTTATGTTCTGTACATACCTTCAGCAATAAGCTCGTCCACGGTGACCTGATACCGGCCGATTGCAAACACTTTGCCCAAGTAGCTGCTGAGTCCGGAGCCGGAGCTGGACGTCCCTCCGAGCCCACCGCTCTCGGACTTTGGCATTCTGGAAAACTTCTTCATCCTTTCCTTTCTCCAAATGCAATCCCTGTTTTGAGGGTTTGAGTAACCACACAGTCCAAATTATCTCAGTTGTGTCCGACGTCCCCTATCTACTTATCTGAAGTATTTTCTTTTCCTGCATGCTCCGCGTCTGGTTCTTTTGGAGGGACTACTGGCTGTCGGGTGATACGACATGAAAGTACAGTTATTATACAGGCGTCAGGGGTGGGATGATACTGCACAGTCAGTCTCCAGAAGCTCGTACCAGTGACCGCATACACACATAAATGGCCAAAAGCAAAACACTAATGTTCGTTGGCTAATGAGACATCACTGTAGATGGCTGCAGCCTTTGCTAGCATACATGGACTCGGCGGTGTGCAGACAGGAGGCTTCGCCAACAATGAGAATAAGGCAGGGGAGAGGCACAACAATGCAGCTGCCACCGTGGTTGATAACACCACTTCTGGCGGAAAGGAATTCCTTCCCTAAATATATCCAGTCCTCCAAAAGTAGCGGTGCCGCTCCACACCCCGCGACCCGTTCACTTCACTCGGGCGAAGCGGCTATGTAGCTTGTTATTAGCCGCTGTAGTTAGCTCGTTACTAGCTACGGTAGTTAGCGGCTAACGAGATTTGCTAGCAGCCACAGTGGTTCCTCCAATAGCAAATCCGCTCGGAGTGCAGGTGGGCTAACAAAGTAGGCAGCCCGAACCTCACACAATTAAGGGTCGGCGTCTCCCCAGAAGCTCTTCCGGCTAAGGCGTTTTCATTCGGGTCACCTGTGTCATCTCCACTAACTCACATTTGGGTCGTTTTTAGTGAACCTTCGTGAATGCTAAAACTTCTCGTGACTCATCTGCGGTAGGATACAAAACAAGGGTGGTTTGTTATTTACCCAATGAGAGTGACAACCTAACCTGACGTGGCCCCGCCCCCTACCATTGTTATGATTGGTTTATGAGGAGAATGTATGGAAGCCAATTTATACAAGAGAGAGACACTATTGAATGAACTTGTGGATGAATAAAATAATGAGGAATATTTTTCAAGTAAACAAAATGCCAACATTATAAAATAGTAAATAGTTCTCTATTCCGTTCTCTATTCAAGTGTATAATACTTTGGATTTGAACTGAAGTCTGTTAAATTTGGATGACATAGTGCACCCTTTTACTGTTCTTAAATGATCACTTATTAACCTCTTGTGTCAAAACATACTGTACCTAATAGGCCTGCCTATCAAATATATATATATTATATATGTCATTTATAGAGAACAATGTACTGCGGTAAAATGTTACCTTTCCAATAAAAACATATTCTTAACTTAATTCTCTGACAAACTAATCTGATAGCAACAAATAAGGGATTTAAACCTTGAGAACAATATGTATCATCCAAAATCAATTATATCATCAAGCGACCATTAAACCAAAAAAAGGTCTATTGACCCAGATGACAGACCATTCAAAATTATGAACACACCACAGAATAAGAATCGAAATGGTTGATTCACCTGAAATAAAAAAAAGAGTTTTAATATGGTGACCCCGCATGAGTGGTAAAACAAAAACTATAACTGCTGTAAATGTTTTTACACTGTTCATAACTTTAAAGCATGTCCTTTCCTTAGTGGCAATGGGCTTCCCTAAGAAACACCCATAAAATACTGATCTGTAAAAGCATGGCATAAGTGAAAGACCAAGCTGTCTGGTTGAAGGAAATTCACTAAACAGACTGTGCATGTTGAAATAAACAAACCTCAGGCTCAAAGTAATGTGTTATCCTCAGTCACATTTATGTAAATTGTTAAACATCCTATCTGTGTGTCTTTGTTCTGCCTGTTAAACAGTGCTGGTCTTTTTTAAGGCTATAACTTCCTCAGTTTGTGTTAACTGATCTTACTGTACAACACCCCCTTTGATTTTAATGATCATCTGCAGTGGAAAAACAATGTACATTTTCACCAGGCACTGCCAATGAGGAAGTGGTGTGATAACTGCCTCTGTGAACCAAAGGCTTTATGAACAAAGGCATGTGTGGAGGCTGGGGAGTCGACCTCATACTCAAACACAATTTCAATCTTTTGTGGTCTAACTCGATTTTAACATCCCACTACAGTAACATTTGTTCTCTATACATCAGCAACTAGAGTTGAAAAAGGTCTACTTCGGGTAAATGGTCACCATAAGCACATTCAGGTCAATGGTTACAGAGGGAGCACATGGCTGAGATGGAGATTACATAAGAGATGAGGAGGAGCACATTAGAATCACATGACTCTTCAAACCTCCATGTCTGGACACATCCTGTTTCTGCAGGGGGGGATCTTTCCTCTCTGACACACTTACCATTGTCTGGCTGAGTGTGAGGTGTATGCTGCCACCTGTTGGTGCCTAAATACACAATTGCACACAGAAACTTTCAATACAGGAATATCCTCATTCAGCAAGTAAATATATCAAGAAACATCCATCTTTCTGGGTTGTCGAGCAGAGAACTGCACCAGTTCTCAGGCTGACCTCTGACCTACTGGAAGTTTTGGGCGCAGTCAAGATAACTTTCCAATACAAGTTTGCTTCTAAGAGCAGAAAAAACACCAACCTTTCAAATCAGGATTTACTTTTTTTAACGTAATTTCAAAAGCCCTAAGAATATATTTTCTCACTCATCTTTTTATTATGAGTTATTGGCTGAAGTAAATGGACCTGAAAAACCAGATAAAATACAATGAGAACAAGTGAACTGGATCTTGAAGTTTGTTTTGGACGCATTGCTTACATGGCAAATATAAATGAACCACTCATAGTCAAGAGGTGGGACTAAGTCATTGTTCTGTTTGACATAAGAAGTAGTAAGTTGTTGCACTCACATACCAAGTCAAAACGGACTGAAGTCCTGAGTCCTAATCTTTGAGTTTGCGTCATAACAATTTCTTCCAGCACATTTTGTATACAGTATTTCTTTTTTTGTTAACCACTGCATCATGTTTGTTGTACAGTTTTTTTCTAAATGGCACTGCATCATTTAACCTACATTTTTCATGGCTGTTTTTGCAACTGCAACTTAATTGGATGTCATTGGATTGGTGCATCAATTCAGTTTTGACTTTCTGAAAATGCATGGCGTTCAGGAAATGAAGGGGAATTGATTGATGTGTGGCACACTTAATAACATAATTTGTATCTTTGAGCTTGATGGATGGCACAAGTCATTAAGTCAAATTGCAAGTCTTGTTCTATTTTGTCGAGTCAAGTCATTGACTATGTGACTTGAATCTTAACCAACAGAAAAGTATTTAAACAATTATCACACCTTTCAAAAGTCAGGAAAAGCCAACTCTTCTAAAGTTGCTGTATATGTGAAGGTGAGTTTTAGGATTTTTTTTCTTGATTTAAATAAAATTGTTCATCCTTTAAAACAGATACTGTATTTGAATGTTTAAACCTGTATATATAAAATTGTTAAATAATGAGCTGGAAAAAAAAGAAAGAGCATATAACATACTATCAGATATTTCGTCATTTTAGGGGCAAGGCCATTTGGTCTTTGGTGTCACCATTTATTTTAGGGCATTTAGACCACATGCCAGGGCACAAAGGCTATTGAGGGAAACATTAGGATTTGGAGCTTTGTAAACAAATCCAGAACCTTTGAAATAGGTTATAATAATAATATAAACTGTACCCTGTGTCCTTTTGTGTCCTTCTGTAGTCCATTTACTGTTGTTTGTCTTGTCTTACCCCGGCTGATATCTCACTAAATCCACTGTTTTAATTGTTCCCTATATTGCCCCTATGCCCTGTAAGGTGTCCTTGGGTGTTATGAAAGTGTTTGCACATGTTTATTCTAGTGTATGAGTGACATAGAGCAAGTGAGATGGCCAGTGGTTCTCAAACTTTGAGTACCACCTCAAATTATATTGGGCTCTCCTGGTAACACCATCATAGACCTTCCTGGGTACCACCGAGGGATTTAATATGACAAGCCATATGATGCTCTCATTTGTTAGTGACATTCCACATGCAAATAAGATAAGATAAGATGGTACTTTATTGATCCCAATTTGGGAAAACATTTTTAGTTACAGCAGCATAAGGGACAAGGCATTTTACAATAAATTAGAAATAAGCAATACAAATAAAGAAAAGAAAGAAAGAGGAAAATATACAGTACAGGTTGAGTTTGGCAGGATATTGTATATATATATAATATACATATACATAAATATAAGGCATATGGAATATTAATGTTAAATATTGAACAGATTATATATGTGTAAAATGTACAACGTGGTTATATTCAAGAGAAACTATGGAGCAGAGAGTTCTCTTCCAGCCAGAGGTGATTTGTTGTACAGCACAGCTTCAAAGGGGTCCAGCTTGATGCCGATGCAGACCCAGCTTTCCTGATCAGTTTATTGATCCTGCTGGTGTCACCGGCTCTGATGCTGCCCCCCCCAGCAGACCGCAGCAAAGAAGAGTGCACTGGCCACAACAGACTAGAAGATCTCCAGCATCTTGCTGCACACGTGGAAGGATCTCGCTTCCTCAGAAAATAGAGTCTGTCACCGCACACAGCCACATCCTCTCCCAGAATGCACAGGGGTAGAGGAGACGTCCTCACCCTCCTGAAATAAATGACCATCTCTCTGTTCTTGGCCACATTGAGAATACTCACAACATTAGGCTGAGGTTCATCTTCCGCTCTTCTAGAAGTGGTTGTGCTTCTTGTTGCTTCGGCTAAATAAACATAATTAAAGACATTTTGAGTGTTTAAAATGTGCTGTAATACACAACACATTATTTTTCCTAAACTTGCAGAAAGAAAAACAAAAGTGAGACATTTAATCACATATTTATATATCAATCTTATACACCTTGAATTCTTGTTGGCCAATGATACACATTTGAATTATTGCAGTGGGCAGGAATGTGTTCCTGTATCGGTCCTTGTCAGCAGTCTGTTGGAGAAGGAGCTCCGTTGACCCTCCAGCTGCAGGTGGAGAGGATGGGTGGGGTTATCCATGATGGACAACAGCCTGTTCAGTGTCCTCCTCTCAACCACAGCTTCAAAGGGGTCCAGCTTGATGCCGATGACAGACCCAGCTTTCCTGATCAGTTTATTGATCCTGCTGGTGTCACCGGCTCTTATGCCCCCCCCCACAGCAGACCGCAGCAAAGAAGAGTGCACTGGCCACAACAGAAGATCTCCAGCATCTTGCTGCACACGTGGAAGGATCTCAGCTTCCTCAGAAAATAGAGTCTGCTCATCCCCTTCTTTGTGCACAGCGTCAGTGTTGATCCTCCAGCTCAGCCGATTGTCTAAGTGCACTCCCAGGTATTTCTAGTCCTCCACAACAGCCACATCTTCTCCCAGAATGCACAGGGGTAGAGGAGACGTCCTCACCCTCCTGAAATCAATGACCATCTCTCTGGTCTTGGCCACTTGAGTGCGCATTCAGAATCAATTCAGCAACAGTTGTACATGTGGGGAGCTGAGGTCTCAAGCCTTCCCGCTACATATGTTATTTGTACCAAACGACCACATGCCTAGTCTGAGACCAAAGAGTTGAGCTGGACGATTACACTATCGTCCTAAACCTATATTATAGTTTCGATACACATATACCATCGTGGTATCCGGCACCTACATGATCTCGATGTTTCTCTGTCACATATATGACGCACAAATCTCTGAGCAGAAACACTCCATACATTGCATTGGACACCCCAATGACATTCCGCATGTCCCAGCGCCCAGAGACCAAAGAAACTATTAGCGTTTATCGGACTCTCCCTCGATCGGCGACTTACAGTCACAGCACGCAGGAGAACACCACGACAGTAGGCGCCAGTCAACTTGCACACAAACATTACACAAC